TAAATAACAATAGAATAAAATACATAGAAATATGGTTTGAATAAATAAATAGAATAAGATAAATAAATAATAAATAAATAAGATTGGATTAAGTAAAAAAATAAAAAATAGAATAAAATAAATAAAAAATGTGGTTAAAGTGAGTATAAATTAGATTAAAATAAATATATAAAATTGGATTAAAATTTAAAAAATTAGAATAAAATAAGTAAATACAAATTAGATTAAAATAAATAACTAAAAATAAAATGCAATAAACAAAACGTAGGTTAGAATAAATAAAGATCAGAATAAATAAATAAAAATGTAAATACAATTTTAAACATGATTAAAATATATAAATGAATAAAAACCTGCTTAAAATAAGTAAATAAATACGATGAAACTGTACAGTACTGTACAGTGTAGAAAAACAACATAATAATGTAGCTTAATAGAAGCAAATTATTTTCCAAATCATATTTGGTGGTCTGTGCAATCTAAAAGATTGAAAACTCCTGGTGTAAAGTTGTGCACACACACACACACACAATCGCAGAGATTTGGTTCCCACGGCAATTCTTAACATCCTGAATTCAGAACAATGGTGCTAGTTATTCCGATGACCACTGTATCAACACTCATAAAATCATAGTTGTGACACTAGATTTAGGCAAGACCGCCGTGGCTTTTTATTGGTGGAGAGAGTTAAACTGCTGACCTTTGACCTCATAATCAACATGATGTCATAAACCATTTCCTTTGGCCCGACACACCCACAGCGAGCGTACAGTACACAACCTGTGGCGTCTGATCCACGTATTAGTGCACAATGGAGGATACGACGTGAAGTATTTCCCCTGCGTTGCAGCTTTTCCTGACTCTGTGTGTTTGTGTGTTATGTGATGGCTCTAATTGCCAGTTTCCTTTATTGACTTCCAAACAAAGAAGCTGCCAAACATTTCTGTCCGTCAGTCTGTCCGTCTATGTGTCGCTCGGTCGAGTGCGTGTGAGATTGTTGTAATGATAGCGATGCTTGAGGAAAAAGGCCATATTTATAGAGGCGTAACTGACATCCACACATCAGAGAAGTTGCCTCTGGGTTTGTTTGTTTAGTTGGTATTTTGCTTGACGAATCCAAAACTGTCTGCCAGTTGTGTGCAATCATTTCGTCGGGCCTGAAACGAACTCTGCACAAGAACGTGAACGCTAACGCTTGTAGCTACGCAAGCTCTAGTTTGTAGTTCAGATAATTACCAGAAGAGGCGCTGTGGTGTGAACCGTTTTAAAGCTGCAAGATTAAATATTAGTAAATAAATGTTAAATATTAGTATTGTACTTTTGCAGCTGTTCTGTCAAATAAAATGATTATTGTTATTCTTAAATACTCATTTTTAATTTTTTAGTAAAATGTTACAATAGAAATGTTTTTTTTACTTTTTATGTAATATTATTAATAATAATAATAAAAAATAAATTATTTTACTGTGAAATTTTGTACAATATTGTTTCTTATTTCGTTTAATATTTTTATTTAGTAATAATGATAATTGTAATGACAATAATAATAACGATAATGTTTTTTTCGAATCGCATTTCGATTTTTTTTTCTCTCAAATAATTTTTTGCGTCTGTGTTTTTGCATACTTGTGTTTCTGGTATTTGAAAAGTTAGCATAACCCGTGGTGTGTGCTGTCGTCATCATTGGTTTAGGTTTAGGCCCCTGACCTCTGACCCCTGACCTCACGGCATGTCCTCCAGCAGGCGTGCCGCTCGCTCAATTCACGTCCGTGTGCCGTCAGCGGATAAAAGCTCCGGCTGGTCGTAAAAGAGGCGTCGCCTCCCGTGAACCTCAGCCAGACGAGAGACGATCAATAAAAACACTGACTTCCCTCGAGTGTGTGTGTGTGTGTGTGTGTGTGTGTGTGGAGACAGAGAGAAATAATCATTAACTTCTCCAGACTGCTGAGTGACTTGCGTCTGTGTGTGTGTGTGTGTGTGTGTGTGTGTGATTCCATTAGATGTCCAGACACTTTCTGCTGTTTAGATTTGTTTGTTTGATGTACAAAGTGACTATTTAAAAAGCTGTCTCCGTAAATGTAAAAACTTTGCCCAATGTATGCAGAAAATGCCACTCTCTCTCTCTCTGTGTGTGTGTGTGTGTGTGTGTATATATGTGTGTGTGTGTGTGGAGTGTGTGTGTGTGTGTGTGTGTGTGTGTGTGGAGACAGAGAGAAATAATCATTAACTTCTCCAGACTGCTGAGTGACTTGCGTCTGTGTGTGTGTGTGTGTGTGTGTGTGTGATTCCATTAGATGTCCAGACACTTTCTGCTGTTTAGATTTGTTTGTTTGATGTACAAAGTGACTATTTAAAAAGCTGTCTCCTTAAATGTAAAAACTTTGCCCAATGTATGCAGAAAATGCCACTCTCTCTCTCTGTGTGTGTGTGTGTGTATATATGTGTGTGTGTGTGTGTGTGTGTGTGTGTGTATATATATATATATGTGTGTGTGTGTGTTTGGTATTTGAGCTCTCAGACCAAAGGGAGCCAGTGTGGACAGAGGAAGAATGGTTTGTTACCTAAGGCAGTAAAGCTCTAAATGGAGATTTGACTTCAGCTCAACCACAAACAAAGACCCTGAGTGTGTGTGTGTGTGAAGAGACTTTTTGTCCCCTCTAGAAGAGAAAGAATGAATGAAACTGCTTGGGGGAAGGGAGAGAAAGAGGGAGAGAGAGGGTTCAATAGGGCCGTATGAAATCTTTTTTACTTTTTCCCAAATTGTGTTTTATTCAATTATTCATTTTTATTTAATTATTTATTTTTACAAATTTCCTGTTTTCTGTTTTAATTTTTCTGAATTTCATTGTATTTTCCCCCCAAATTCTGATTTATTTTTTCTAAATTCTATTTTCTCTTTTAACTCTTCTGGATTCCATTTGAATTGTTTAATTCAATTTTTAGTCATTAAACAGCATGTCTGTTCAGTTGAATTCATAACACTTAATTTGATCAACCTTTTACAATATAATAAAATGAAAATATAACAATTCATTCTCGCTTAAAAATATGAATAATAAAAAATATAATGTAATTTATAATATATAATAATTTAACCAGTCAGTTGTTGTTTTTTTGGCAGTTTATCATGAAGACCTTTGAGTTTCCACTTCTGTGCAATAACCAACTCATAGGGCTCTAGTTGAGAGAGTTTGTTCTAATAGAGTTCAGGATATCAACTGAAGGCTTGATGCTGTAGAAGACTTGAGGTGTGTGTGTGTGTGTGTGTGTGTGTGTCATGTTGCACACTCTATTTCAGGACACTCTCTGCGTCTGGCTGTCACCATGTCATTCGGGGTGACACTGTGGTCATCCAACCGACCGACCGACACCTAGACGCCACACACACACGGCAGTAAATCCATAACCTATACTCACAAATCCATTCACACACACACACACACACACACAAGTACCTGTGCAGTTGTGTGTCTCTGTTTGAATAAACATATTGTGTTGTCTGAACACACACACAGAGGTCTGTTTGATGTGACTTGTGTTCATGTGTGTGTGTGTTACTCAGGTTTGCTTGCTGTTCACGGTGTCGTCAGAGACACTAGTCAACTATTAAGACTGAAATAGCATCAGTCTGGCACATAGCAACCACACACACACTAAGCATTAAACAGCTAGTTGTGTGTGTCAGTATAATGATTCCTCCATATAATGAGCCGCCTCCATATAATAGTAAACAAGAAGCAGACACACTGTTCTGTACTATGCTTCAGTGATGGTAATACTGTGAAATGTTGATATATATCGTGTAATTGGTATGGTATTGCTGTGGTTACATAGTGTAATGATGTGGTTACATAGTGTAATTTGATGCAGATGTGAAGTCTTTTATGCTCACCAAGGCTGCATTTATTTGATTAAAAATACAGCAATAACAATAATATTGTGAAATATTATTACTATTTAAAATAACTCTTTTACTCTTGAATGTATTGTAAAATGTAATTTATTCCTGTGATGCAAAGCTGAATTTTCAGCATCATTGCTCCCATCACTGACTCTGACACCATCACTGTACCATGATACTATCACAGTATATGTAATGTATTTTCATGGTGTTATTTTTTTCATGGTACAAACAGTACCATGATTCAAGTTACTAATGGTTCCTACTGGTCCAAGCAAGTCATAATCTATTCTAGATTGGTAATCAGTAGGCCTACCCACTGGTGGTCTTGGTTTCAACCTGGTAGACCATCTTGATCAGGCTGAAAGAGCTTGTAGACCATCTTGGACCAGCACATACCAGTTTCACCACCTTGATCTGGGATCTTCTAGGTTTTTTTTCCAGCAGAGATTCAGTGAAATTCACTTGATAAAGTTAAATTGGCATAATGAATAATTGGCTTTTTCTCTTTACTTCCTCAATCAACACTTTGTTCACTTTTATTCTGTTGGAAACTCTAGTAAAGCCAGTTACTAATGGTTCCTACTGGTCCAAGCAAGTCATAATCTATTCTAGATTGGTAATCAGTAGGCCTACCCACTGGTGGTCTTGGTTTCAACCTGGTAGACCATCTTGATCAGCCTGAAAGAGCTTGTAGACCATCTTGGACCAGCAAGTACCAATTTGACCACCTTGATCTGGTATCTTTCAATCAGGGATTCAGTGAAGTTCACTTGATGAAGTTAAATTGGCATATATAATAATTGGTTCTTTTTGGAAAGTCTAGTGAAGCCAATATCTGATGGTTCTTACTGGTCCAAGTAAGTCATACTCTAGTGTAAATGGTTAATCAGTTGTCCTACCCACTGGTGGTCTTGGTTTCAACCTGGTAGACCATCTTGATCAGGCTGAAAGAGCTTGTTGACCGTCTTGCACCAGCAAGTACCAATTGGACCACCTTAATCTGGGATCTCCTAGTTTTTCCAGCAGGGATTCAGTGACGTTCAATTGAAGTCAAATTGGCATAATTAATAACCATGTCATTCTTGTCTCTCTGTAGATTCCCTGGCTCTTCAGGAGCGTGGAGAACAGCCTCATTGGTGTGTGGTGGCGTACTGGGAGGAAAAGACCCGCGTTGGGCGCCTCTACTCCGTCCAGGAGCCATCGCTGGACATCTTTTATGACCTACCTCAGGGCACGGGCTTTTGCTTGGGCCAGCTCGCCTCTGACAACAAGAGTCAACTGGTGCAAATGGTTCGGGCCAAGATCGGCTACGGCATCCAGCTCAGCCGTGAACCCGACGGCGTGTGGTTATATAACCGGAGTTGCTACCCCATATTCATCAAGTCAGCCACACTGGACAACCCCGACTCGCGTACGCTGCTGGTGCATAAAGTATTCCCCGGGTTTTCCATCAAGGCCTTCGACTTCGAGAAGGCGGGAAGCCTACAGCGTCCCAACGACCACGAGTTCAGCCAGCAGCCTCGGACGGGCTTCACTGTGCAGATCAGTTTCGTGAAGGGCTGGGGGCAGTGCTACACCAGACAGTTCATCAGCAGCTGCCCCTGCTGGCTGGAGGTCATATTCAATAACCGATAACAGCGAGCCCCGCCCCCATTCCTTCATCGCCATGGAGACGGACTAGCCCTTACCTTTTATGGACTGTTGTTTTTCTGTTTTGTTTTTCGCAAGAAGTTCTCCAGAAGATGTTTTACAAGAGAAATGGAAAACGAAAACTCACTTTGACTTGTTTAATAAATGACTAAGATTTAATTGTGAAATAAAAGCTAAAATGTATTTTATGTTAAATATAAATATATTATTACCTGTAAATACGAAGTTTTATATGCATTGTTATTTATGTATTGTGCAATGTGTTGATGAGAAAAAGAGATGCACTTTGCTTAATATAAATGCAAACAAAGAAATGCCAAAATAAAAGAAAAAATACTGAATACATCTCTGAATTTGTGCTTGTTCTCTGCTGGTCCGTGTGAGTCTAACTGTTCAGTAGTTTTATTCTTGTCTTAAAATGTCTTTGTTTCCAAGTCTTTTTTCACCCACAAATTAAAAGACATTTTAGCAGAGTTCCCACAGCTTTAAAATATATTTTTAGTTATATTATATTTAAAATATTTCTGCTAGTTTGTGCAAGTTTTTGCAACATTTTTTAAACTTCTCCAATGAGCATGAACAACTGCAACTTTTTTTTCTTATTCACCCACAAATAAGACATTTTAGCAGAGTTCCCACAATCATAGAAAACCTTTTTTTCTTATATTTTTAATTTGCTTAAAAACTATATATATATTCTTATGCACAGCTCTAAAATATTATTTTTTATGATATTTATAATATTTATAATTAATCCAGCAATTGTGATTGCAAGTTTTATAAAAAAAAATTCTATCTGTCCAGTAATCATGATCGACTGCGACGTTTATTTGTTTTATTTATTTAACATATTTCTACTAGCAAGTGTATGTGCAAGATTTATACATTATGCACAGCTCTAAAATATGATTTTTTATGATGATATTATTTATAATATTTATAATTAATCCAGCAATTGTGATTGCAAGTTTTATAAAAAAAAATTCTATCTGTCCAGTAATCATGATCGACTGCGACGTTTATTTGTTTTATTTATTTAACATATTTCTACTAGCAAGTGTATGTGCAAGATTTATACAATATTCTAAACTTATTCAGTACTCATGATCAACTGTAAAAAATCATGGAGTTTTGTTGGTTAAAAGTGGTTTATTTGGGCAGAAAATCTCACAAATAATGACCCACATTGCTCTTTAATTTCAGATTCACATTATTTTTTCCATCTGTCTCATTTTAATGTTTTAATGAGGCTTCATACACAATGTGAATGAGTTTCTTTGAATGAGTTTCTGTGAGAGCAAATTCCCTCAGTCTGACGCGACTGCCCCGTGGGCCGGTTGTGTGCCAGGAACAGCAGGTCTCTGGGGGAGGGGAAGCGTCTGAGGCCCGTCTAGACGAGTGCCACACCTCCTCCTGCCGCTCCTGATATGGACGTCTGCTGGGGGGATTACAGCCGTAAGCCTGCTCTGACCCGACCGACTGGCCCTCAGAGACCTACATTCACCAGCCCCGATTCCCACACAGACCTGAGAGCCACAGAACAGTTGGAGACAAACAGAGCAATTATTTCATGAAAACATAAAAGTAAAAAAAAAATTCTCTCAGTCCGTGTGTCTCTCGTTGGTCAGTAAAGGGTATTCCTGGGTATTAGTGTCATGGTGGTGTCCTGGTCTCTGTAATCCAAACTCTCCTAATGCATCTAAAGCTTGTGCTAGCCAGGAAACCTGGACAGATGCTTCGACCCGACACCAATACCAAGAGCTTATTTATCCTCCTTCTGATGAACAACTAACGCCACAAAGACACTGAAACCAGCTAATTACACCATGAACAAAGACGACGAATAAATAAAATTATATTAAAACACAAAAAAAAATTTCTTATGCTCACCTCTAAAATATTTGTAAAAAATATTTATTTAATATTTAACTTTTATTTGTTATCATATATATATATATAAATAATATTTCTGCTAGCAATTGTGAATGCAGGCTTTATGAAATATTTTAAACGTCTAAAAAATAAATAAAATAAAAATTATACTTCTGTATTTTAAAAAAAACCCCTAAGTTCTACAAAACAAAAGCATAAAAAAATATTACAATTTTGAAGATCTTCAGGCCTGGAAAACTGGCCTGGATAACTAACTTTTTGCTTACGATTGCTTTATTTGTTTTGTAAAGCAATAGTTCACCTAAAAAGGAAGAATATGTTATTCATTTGCTAGCTCAGACGTTCTGCCTTGAATTCAAAGTAAAACAGCTTTAGTGTGTTTATGGAAGGGTCAAATCTCATGACTGTGGTAAGCAGATCAGTGTGTTTGAAGCCTCAGGTGTGTATGAAGCCTCAAACACAAAGGAGAAGCTCTCTGCGCTGCCGGCTCGTCTCCTACCCTGAGGGACAGCCGTTTGCCCGGCACACACACACACACACACACACTGAGGCTGGTTCTGCTGAAATCAAGTTACTAGTTCAAATCTTCTTATCAATATCAAGCATCAGTTCATTGATGGTTTAGAACTAAAGTTCTTTGTGCATATTAGAATGTTTCTACTGTGACATCGGAATGGAAAATCTGTTTAGTTCTAATTGGAATCTTTACATTTTAGAGTCAGTTTTGTTTGTTTATTTATGGTTATCGAGCAATTAGCTTACTTTAACGTCACTTCAACATGTGCATACGTGCAGCTGTACTGAATTTAATTTTAAAATACTTTTTAAATTAAAAACAGAAAGGTGTGTGGACAGGGATGATGAGATTAGGGAAGTGTGATGTGGGAATATTAACTTAAAAGAAACAAAATAGTGAATTTAAAAATAGGAATCAGTAACTTTATGCAAAATATATCTCTATGCAAAATATTTTATATATATATTTGCAGAATAACACTATACCATAAACACAATATATATATAAACAGGTTAAAAGGCAACATTTGCATTATGAAAAAAAAAACCTTTTACGCAGTATACAAAATATGAGCATATGAATTTATGTAATACATGTATGTATGGTGTCAGCATACAGACACGTTTTGTGTGAATTTTATGAAAATGTGAAATGTTCAGATCATATTTGACCCCAAAATAAAATTAAATAAAGTACACTGTACACTGAAATAAATTTGTAAATTTTCTACCAGGACATTATCCATTAACTCTAAAATACAACTCAATGAAGTGCAAAATTCAAAATACAGGTTAAAACAATAATAATAATTCAGAAATACCTTCAAATTAATTCCATCAACATTCCTTTAATCAATCAATTAATCAATCAATCCTATTTTTAGAAAAAAATGTCCATGTTAGTTTCATTAGTACATTTCAACTGAGTTTAATTTCTTTCTTTCTTTTTTGTTACAAACAAAAATGGTTCTAAAAAAAGGAATCATTGTTGTCTTTTAGCAAAATATATGTTCTGTTATATTTTGAATATAGATGAATGTGTGTAAGTGCATGAGGGGTCACATGTTATCTGACTGCCAAACCATCTTTGAATGTTTTTATAGTTTTAGTTAACTAAACCTGGTTTGAGCTTCATCAAAGTAGATCTTCAGTGAATGATTAATTAATATTCATCGCACAAAGCTGTGGTATGACTGACTTTTCACTGAAAAATAAGAGCAAATAATGTATATAAGGTGCATTAACAATGCTGCAAAAACTCCTGTGTTTACAGAAAAAAACTGGCAGCTGTAGGTGCCAAATAATACTGTAAAAATGCAGCAAAATGTAAACATATTTACAAAACAACTGTAAAATAACATATGTAAGGTTAGATCTATTACAGTTTTTATACTGTACATACAAAGAGAACTTATTATAAACAAAATAAGAGGTTTGTTTTTATACACTCTAAATGATTTCTGTTGTTTTTGTATGAAGCTAATTATAATTATGACAGATGAACCCAAACCCTACCCTAAACCAAACCCTTATGAATCATGTTTTACATTTGAGGTTGTTGTAACTAACCTAGTCTGTGTAGTTCATTTCCATTCTTATAACTTGTTTGTCTGTGGTAATTCACATGCTGTCTATAAACCAGTCCTGTTCTAGAAGTGTTTCGTTATTCCAACAGTTCAACCAGGAAAACATTGGTGCCACAAAGATCTGCTGTGAATTAGCTCATAATGAGCCTGAATCACATCAATGGGTTTAATTGAGCCGCACTTAAACGAAACACTGAATCAAACCGTATAAATGAATCAAGGATCTCATCTAATCACGTGAAAACTGGAGCATGTTCCTTGAGTCATGCAGTGAGTTACAGGCCAAACTATGAAACTTAAACTACATTTTAAACTCTCTTCTACTCACCAGGTATGCACTTATTTGATCAATACAATACTGTAAAAATTGTGAAATATTGTGTTGTGTTTTCTGTTTTAATATATTGTAAAATGTAATTTATTTCTGTGATCAAAGCTGAATTTTCGGCATCATTACTCCAGTCTTCAGTGTCACATGATCTTCAGAAATCATTCTAATATGCTGATTTGCTGCTCAAGAAACATTTCTGATTATTATCAATGTTGAAAACAGTTGTGCTGCACAATATTTTAGTTTTAATATTTTAGTTTACTGTAGATTCAGGTGTGTTCAAATGACTAATAACAAGCATCACTTGACTTAGTTGCCTACTTACAAACTCAGATAGTCACGCCTGATAAAGAAACACGTCTATAAATGTCTCTTGATGCAACATTCTCAATATGAAAACAGAAGCCCACAAGACGCGTACAAATCCCTGAACTCACACTTATAAACCAATGAACGAGATGGAGCCCAGAAATCTGAGAGACAGAGACAGAGAGTTGTGTTCTCTGGCTGTTGTTGGGGAAAAGCTGAGTTGTGCGAATATAATAAATTACAGTGAGGAAAACAACACACACACGCACACACACACACACACACACGCACACACACACACACACACACACACACACACACACACACACACGAACAGCACCTATTGTGTGTATCCTTTTCTCTCTCAGACATTCAAACCAGAAAATAACGTCAAAATCACAAACTTCTGTCTCCATAGAAACGGACGACTATAGTCAGAACTCTTGATCATAACACAAAATAGCTTTCTTTCTTTTTTTTTAGTGCAGCTGCACTCATTTGTGTCCTTGATGTTATTTTGTTTCTTAAAGACAGAGAAAAAAAAACTTTATGCACCACAGAAAAATGACTAAAAATGGCTACAATATAAAATAAAATACTACGTTTATGGTGCTTTGACAAGAGTTTTCAAATGAAAACTCTGACCTCTCGTCGGTTTATTTTCTACCAAGTAAAAAGTCACATTGCTTAGGAAAGTCTTAAG